CTATCGCCCAGTGAATTATCTCACAATGCAAAAGAACAAAATGGCGTTGCTCATTGCTGAGGCACTATTGGGCACCGGAGAAACTTGGCCTCCGTCAGCATCGATCATGTATGATCAAACTACTGAGGGCACTTGGCAGTTGAACCGAAACAGAAAAGATTACGATCAAAACTGATATTATCCGTTCAGATAATTGTGAGGCCTCCGACACTTAGGTAACCTCATCCTGTTCTGTGAGCTAAAAACCTACTGATTTAGAAGCCCCGTTTTCGGATGGATGGGAAATGCGTCCCCTCAGCGGTAGCTATAGGTGCTAGTTCGTGACTCTTTGTCTGACCCTATTGTGGTGGACTGCTGTGCTCCACAAGGATCGGATCGACGTTGTGAGCGCATTGACACCAGCCAACTGACAAAGCCAGCTGTTCTGAATGCCTACCAAAGTACGCTGACACGTGAGTTGAGTAAGCGCTCATTGGAGACAATTGATGGTCACTGGTCACATGTTCACCATCCCTTACTAACAGTAGGCAAATCCTCATGTGGTATGTTTAATAGCCAACGTGAACATTGGATCTCTTCGCGGTCTCTGGAACTTATCGACGCTCGCCGGCATATTCGGTCTAGTAGCGAACACAGTGAAACTCGCAAAGAGCTCCGGGCAAGACTCCGTGCTAGCCTGAAGAGAGACCTCGAATCTTGGTGGTCTCACCGTGCGTCAGAGATGGAAGTGGCCGCTATCCTTGGCAACCATCGCAAGTTATTCCGTCTGATACGGGAAACGTGCAGCAGGAGACCTGGTGTTAGTGAAAGTATACTTGATGAGAGTGCACACCCTATTCACAACTTATCAAAACGATTAAAACTTTGGGCTCAGCATTTTACTAGGCATTTTAATCAGTCGCACTTGTGAGATTTCTCGCCGGCCGCTGATCGCCCCGCTGCCTGGGATGTCACCTTGGAACCATCCTCTCGCTCAGAAGTCGAACGTGAGATCGGACTGTTGAAGTTGAACAAAGCCGCGGGACCAGATGCTCGTCCTCCAACCCCCTTCAAATTCAGGGGACCTGCTCTGGTGGATGATTTATATTAGGCTAGCACGGAGTCTTGCCCGGAGCTCTTTGCGAGTTTCACTGTGTTCGCTACTAGACCGAATATGCCGGCGAGCGTCGATAAGTTCCAGAGACCGCGAAGAGATCCAATGTTCACGTTGGCTATTAAACATACCACATGAGGATTTGCCTACTGTTAGTAAGGGATGGTGAACATGTGACCAGTGACCATCAATTGTCTCCAATGAGCGCTTACTCAACTCACGTGTCAGCGTACTTTGGTAGGCATTCAGAACAGCTGGCTTTGTCAGTTGGCTGGTGTCAATGCGCTCACAACGTCGTCGTGGGTGTCTGACACCACACATCCACATGTCAGCACATACAAATACATGATCGGTGGCTGCACGTTTGCTCCAAATCGAGCGACAGTTCTGGATGCAGCCACTCCAGCGGTAACTGATAGCAATGTGATCGATCTGCGTCCATAGCTAGTTCGAGGCTGGTGGGCGTCAAGTCAACCTAAGACGGGTACTGTGTCGTAAGTTAGTGCTTGCAAGAAATAAGCGGGCATCTTCACACAAATGAAGTAACCACTCTCTGTTATCATTACGGGAGCCTACACCGTGCTGACCGCCCAGATGCAGTTCATCAGTGGACGACTTTCCAGTTTGTGTATTCAGATCTCCCTTCGAGCACAACAGTGTCCGTGCTTTTCCTGTGGCGAAAGAGCTAGCTCGTTTGAGGATAGAAGTCGTTCTTTACCGAATCATCGCTGCAGTTAGTGGGCGCGTATGCAGCGATGATGAGTAGACACTTATTAGTCCCGCGCGACTTCGAAGCTTTGAACGAGCCAGCCAATTGGACCACATACATCCGGCTACTGATTGGAGTCCAATCAACCAGAGCAGCTTCAGCCCGGGGACTGACGACCATGCCAATGCCAGCTTGCCCGGTGAGCGAAGCTGCATCGTCACCGGATAGGCGCAATGAGAAAATGTTGCTAGTTTCACCTGACTGAGGTCGCAAATTGAGCACCGAGCTGGATTTTTGCAGGCGGGTCTCCGATAAGCAGCAGATAGCGATCGAGAGGGTCTCCAATGTCAGGGCAAGTGCTTCCTGTTGAATGATCTGACGCAATGAACGTACATTGAGGCACCAATCTGAAAGAGGTTCGAGCGCTCCAATTGGTAGCCGATGAACTGGGCTTGACCGCTTGTTTGAACATGGGCCTGTTGACAGGGCAGGAATGACGCTCCGCGTTCACATGTGAGTTGAAAGTAGAAGGTAAACGCCTAACAAAGCAATTTTGAGGAAAGCCGAGTGCGTGGGTTCGGAAACAAGGGGGATGAAGGTGAAGTTGGAACAGGACGATAAGGGTTAAAAAGCGCAAGAGTGGGAATAGGAAGACGGGAAGTCTTGGGCAGTAGCATCCTAACCCCTATCCACCCTGCTCGATGCAGCAGATAGGGCACCGTTGATTATCCTCTGCCGTTGCCAGCGTATCAGGAAATTGTTTGAAGAGAGATTCATAGTATTGCGTGGGCAGGATACTGTCAGTTGCCTAGGCCTAGAAAGGAGAAGGATTAGGGTTCTCAACCAAAGTCTTTGGTACAAAAACCTTACCGCAAGGCAGCGGGTTTGGCGGTGGGCTACAAGGAGTCCGTTTTAAGGAATAAGGTGCGACCCTCATTCCAACCCCCAACCTGGAGGACCAGGAGGCTGAGTTTGTCTGGCCTCTAACCATTGACCAATCTGGTATGAGTAGCTCTGAAGGTGCAGAAAAGCGCCACTCAGCATAACTCAACGGATCACTGAGGCACACAAACCATCGCACCACGTTGAGGTCAAGTCTTATTTTTGGGGATCAGCTAGAAATCGTTGAAAAACTCAACTACCTTGGAAGTTGTATTTCGCCGGTTGCATTGAAGATGAGATCGCGTACCTTATAGCAATAGCTCGAGGGCCTTTTGGTATCCTTGAACACTTATGGCGCAGGCGCTACATCATTCTGGCCCTGAATGCTAGAGGGTGCAATGCAGTGGTACGTTCGGTTCTGTTTTGCGGTTGTGTAACGTCCCCTAGGATCGGCGGACATAAAGAGGCTTGTTCCTTTTGACCACCGGTGCCTTCGCAACTTGGCTAACCTCTGGTGGATACACCGTGTAAGCAACGAGCGTATTCGACGCTTTGTTTACGGCACAGGAAAAGGAAATGAACTGATTAGCACCGTTAGTTCACGCAACAGGCTCCGATGGCTCAGCCACGTGTTACGCATGCCAGCCCACCGACTCCAGCGATATGCGTTGTTTTGTGCCGGGGATTGGATGGAAGAAGAGAAGGGGTGGCCAAGCGATGAGTTGGTTGAGAGGAATGATGGCCTGCACTTCGAAGCTGGTCTCAGTTAGAGCGTCTCGGCTCCCAAGCTGGGGTCCAAAAGACGATGAACACGTTTGGTTGGATACATTTGCTGATATGTCTAGGAGGCGACCTCAGGGGCGTACGAGCTGTGAGTTTCTTTGTCCCACCCAACCCTCTTAGCCTCCCCTCCAATTACCATCTTATTATTTAGCATTTTTTAATTTTGCGTACTAAATTATTTTTTTTCCTGCTGCATACTGGCTGGCTGGTAGCTTACCGGAACGATGCCCATCCATTACCCGTAACTCAGTTTGCGTGCACCTGTTGCCTTTTTTCTCCTTTTTTCTTTTATGCATTGTGGCAAATTAGTCGAGGTGTTCCCGCCTCTAGTTAACGTGTAAAAAGAAAGAATGCTCAAACCGTATTTGACACCCTATCTGATTGTACGCAGTACAGGCTTGGAAACCCTGGAAGTAACATGATCTAGCTGTACTACAGGTGAAACGGCTAAGGTGCAACTGCGTCTAGAATTCCTGAAAATTTACAGTGAAACATCATCGTCATCCAGACATATCAGGACTTGACTAACCACAGTCACGTTGACAGCCACCAATTGAAATTTAGCCACAACACAAAACTGACTGGTTATCATGAGGAACTGGTTGAAGCCATGCTTTTAAACACTGGAACCATGAGCAAACCGTAATATCTCGGGGTAAGCTAAAGGACAATCAATAAGTTTGTAGGAACCATGTCACCGGAAATCAAAAGCGATAGCTACCGCACTCCATCTGCGTTGTGGTCTGTGAAGACTCACCACCTGGATAGGTTGAGCCGTGATTCATTCCATTACTTAGTGTGCACTTATGAAGGCGTTAAAGGTTTTTAGACAAATGTCACGTGCTACAACTGTCCATTCATGTCTGCGCATGTTTTCATCCAACGTGAGGGTCGCCGACGACCTTGAGTCAAGTCTGGTTATAGACTTCCGAGTACGGTCGCCGATAAGCAAAGTACAGATGATATGCAGGTTAACGTGTTTCGCCGTGCAGTTTATCAGCTCAACATGACAGGCTGAAAATTCACCTGAGTTGACTTGACAGTTGATAAATAAATTGCAACACCGACAAGTAGCGCGGATAGTTGGAAATATTTTAAAAACTAATGGGGCCATTGTACCAGCCAGCCCGAAACCGTTTTCTACCAGATGCGTTACGACCAGTTGTTAATCATCTCAGATCAATGACTTTCACTCCCTCCATTGAGCAACTAGTACTGAAGGTTTGGTTAGCATCATATACCAGTGCGATTTGTGTTTGCACCCACTAGCGCACTGGTAGCGTGATTTCTCGCTTCGTTTTGTAACTAAGTATTGTCTTTCTGCTAACTTTCGCACTGTCTACAAACTACAAATTTCTCTGTTTTCCAATACTCTAGCTGCATTGCATGGCTATTTATGCTGTCCCGTAAAACCATACTAACTAATACTAATAATGGCAAAATCGGCTAGAATAACTGCAGAGAAATTGCGTTTTTAAAGCCCCTGTGACGTATGGCTGACATTTGGGTCGTATAGCAACAACAACCGCTTACGTTGCAATGTAGGCTGGTCCTTCCGGTCCTTAAAAACAGCAAGATAAACCTCAGTCTCCTTGGTGTGTTCGAAAACATGCGGTGGAACGCGGAGATATATCCCTAAAGGAAAAAATGTGATGCATTAAATTAAGCATATGATATATCCTTTCATAGATGGAAAATAATACAATGGATGTTGCAATGCAGATGGATATACCGAAACGAGACCATTATGCATTTTTTCTGCTGCTTGCAGCTTGCTTAAACATATTAATCTATCAGGTTACCTCAAGTATTCACTACTGTCTTTCTAATTACTGACGATGAGGTTCTTGATAACGTATAAAGTAGTGATATTTACTTAATAACGACAAGAGCAATGGTATTTGACGTGAAAATCTGGGCAACTTGTCAATTCATCCCCAAAACCGGGTAAGAACGTCAAAGAATGGATTGCGCAACAGCTCTATAGGACGATAATCCATTTTACCTGATTTTCCGATCGATAGTGTGCATCCGTCTTCTGGAACGCTTTCTCGAACAACCAAACTTAAGGGTTTAATTAAACCGGTCGTATCCTTTTCTACTTCGCAACATAGGCTTGGTTTTTGTTTCAGCTGGATCTGGCAAGGAATACCTGGATGAGTAGTGACATCAACAAAACCAAGCAGACTGTTTTCAGGCACTGGTGGATTGGTAGCTTCTTGCATGGCGTTTCCTTGACTTTCGAAGGCGAGATCCATAGTCGTAAGATTAGTAGTCGCTGTATCCGAAGATTGCTCAGTGGAACTACCTGTAGATGCCGTTTTGACTTCCAGGTCATTACGCACAAATTGGATATCACTACGCGCGGTCATCAAATAGTGAGGTAATTTGAATGGTATACTGTCGTTCTGTACAAAGTCCGATGATCTGGAAGAAAACAGGCCAAACTGAGTAAACGATGGTGGTTGGAATGGGCACAGCCATTTTCGATGCGACGATTGAAACATACTTTGTTGCAAGCTGTTACAACCTGTTACAGAAAATACCTATTCCGATCTGCTAACCTTCGAACTGCAACGTAGCTCAAGCGGTAAGTTTCGCAACAAAGACAACAAGCGGGTTATATCAAAACTAGAACGAGCATGCGTTTCAATTACTTCCCGGTCAGATATACCTATTTATGGAACAAACTGCCAATTATTAGAGAAGAGAAATAATCTAACTACGGATTTATCATGGCTAAAAGATAGACACTTACCAGTTTTCTGTAGGTAAATTGATGTGTGAAGACATTAATCGCGTGGCGATGTTCACGTGTACACATCGTTTCGTTACATTGTCCCGTGTCCCAGTAAGCTGGGTTAAGTCATCTAATGTAGGTGATGTAATACAGCGTCAAGTCTTAGATTGAATTCAACTAACGTTGGATGGGAGATGACAGAGTGCGTAATAAGTTCCACGGCTGAGATCGCTATTGGGGAGAAGGTTCCGCCGACATTCCAGCTGGCTATACTTTGCGGCTTACTTTAACTCATGGTCCCGAAGTGAGTTGTCGTCAAGAGTGGTTAGGAGCCTTGAGAATCTGATGCAACAATATGAGATCGACTCTCAGAAGATGATGACATCATCCACTGAAAGCTCCTAGAGTCCTTAGTATAAAATGGTAAGAGCGGTGGAGCGAACCACTAAGCTTTTAATAACTCTATTGTGGGTTCCCAAGAACAGTGATGTCCTGGTAGTCAGATATGGGTGAGGTATTTTACATCTGGTAAAATGCTGAGGAATCAAATCAACCAAACTCTCCCCGCTGTATGCCCAAGCTTTGGCTAGTTTTTTAACGATTTTCTCAGCGTTGTTTAGTATAGGCCGTCGTTGTACAGGTGTTCACCAAGGTCGCTTTCATGGGCAGTGCGCTGTAAACTGCGTTCTCCCAATGGATATTCCTGAATGCTCTGGTGGCACATGTAAATTATTGCATAATTTACAGGGTTAAACTCAATCTTATTCTGAGCCGACCTGTTGAGATCCCTGTTGAGATCACTTCCCAATGCTATGTGGTCTCCTACTCCCTTGATTGTCTGCCTCACCATGAGAACACTCACAAAATGTAAACATTTTGATGTCAGTACTCCATCGAGGTTTTTTATGAACACTAGGAATACTCGTGATCCTAGTACCGAGTCTTGAGGGAGGTCACAGTGAACCTCTTCCGGGTTGGACAGGGTGCTAGGAACTCGCACATTCAGGCGGTGGTGGAATCCATGAATCCATTCTGTCCATAACGGAGTAACCATTTCAGTAGCTCGGAAGCTTGTACTAACAAACGCGGCGAGTTAAGCCTGCAAATACCTTCAATACTCAGAGCAAGTGGAATCGATTCCTTCCCTAATATATGCAAAATCTGTCCAGCTGGCGCAGTTTAAAAAGAGATTCGTGGTGCGTAAGCGGTTTTGGAGAAAGGCATGCTGCTCCTACTCGATATTATATTAAATATCCCATAATTGCTTGTACAATGATATATACTATGAATTTAATAAGCACCGGAAGTAGGATAATCGGGTGGTAATTTTGCGGGCACTGCTCCTTTGCAAACTGGAGTGAGTATTCCACGCCTCCTCATAGTCAAAACCTACATCTCTGTAGATAGCGCTGGGAAAGCTGATTTAAGGCATCAACTGAGCTAGTGGCAGCTCGCTTCATTAACTTGGGGCATAGATTAAATAGACTAGTTGAACTGCACTCGAGTAGTTACCTCAATCGCTCCAGCACATCCGCGGATGTGAAGGAGTTGTAGCTAAGTCCTGGTGGTATCGGGACCTGAGTGAGGAAGCTATACATTTACGGTGAGTTCTAGAAAGTACGAGCAAAATGATATCTGCAAGTGTTAGCCGCTTTTTGTGCGATTTGTGCCTGACTACAAGGAGCGTTTACATGCAGGAAGCATCGCTTACTTTGCTGCATTTGTCAACTTGCCTCTATAGGAGATTAGGTTTAGAGTAGAACTGCGTTAATTCAGGTTGGTGTTTTAATTTTTCTAAGCGGATTTCACTCTTACTGAAGCGGATCTCACAACTCCATTCATTTATGCGTTCTACTGCTCAGGAAACACCTCACCTTTATGAGCTAAGGGACATAGTCTCCTAAACTGCGGCGCTCTTTGTAGAGCTGCCCCCAAGAGACACCGGAAGGTTTTTCTGGTAGAAGCGACCACTGATTCATTCTGAAGAGATCTGATAAATGCTGTGATGTGTTAACATACGAATCACTTTGATCTCCCCTATGCACAGTTCTGCGTAGCAGACTTAGCGGAAAACCAGTGTGCATGAGAAATGCGCTACAGAGGTCTACTCACTGTTACTGTGTCAAAAACAAGTTTCTCACTGGTAAAGAGAAAGTCCAAAATGGCCGGTTTGCTTCCCGTTTTTAATCTATTATGGGAAGTACCATGATTATGAAGTGGTAGGCCAGCCAGTATTCCAAGTAGTTCGACCTTAAATTGTTCACCAACGCAGGGCGGAAATTCAAGTGCAGTGGTCCTCAAACTGTTGTGGATTTACCAACGAAGTGGGTCTACCAAAATCAAGTGCCCAAAAACTTCCCAGTTTAAAAAGCTGCTTAACTACCGTATATTTTGCTTCTATTTACAGAAGGTGAATACTAATTTTAATTACACTATCATTCAAATAAAAATCAACTGTTTTTGCGCAACTTTATCGAATCGGTTGGGAATGCGAAATAATGAGACGGATGATATTGCTTAGTTTTAACATTTTATGGTATATTTGGTGCGGTTTCTGCTAAGACACATTGTAAGTCGTGCTCCAAGTTCATTCAGTTCCTTGCTTTGGTTTGTGATCCCTGCTTAAACGTAAACAAATATCAGTGGCTTCTCATTTGTTTCAGCCGTCCACTTCATGACCTTCCTGGATGACTGCTTCTCACCACCAATCTGTAGCACCACGTCCAGAGAACTAATCGCCTGTGTTGTCCTTTCTACTACGTAAAAATTCGGTCGCCCATTTATCTGATCGGATGGCCTGTACTCCCACATTATTGTTCACTGTAATTCGACCCGGCGAACGACTGCCTGACTTAAAAGAAGAGAGATCGATAAGCGGTGCGATAGAAACGCTATCTAGATGCACTGTTTGGCAAGCTTGTATTCGTATTTTTCTTATTAAAAGTTATTACCGAACATTGTCAAGTTCACTGACCACTCACTAATGATTATGCTCTGATGGCTAATCAATAGTGATTAGGTAGTTAATTGATCGATTTTTACAGATGATCTTGTTACTAATTTTGTTCGGCAACAAATTGATGGCTCAATCCTTTTACTTATATTTACCCCCAAAATAAAATTCCATTTTACCCCTGTTGTGGGTACTTACCGCCAGGTTGAGAGTCACTGCTTCAAAGCATGCAAGTTGCTCTTCCACAATGAGACCCTATGAAGCTTTAGCAAGATGGAGTAAATTACTTGAAAATTAGCTGAACCGAGACATAATAGAGACCATAGTCATGTGGGAAAATTCCACCAGTTAGCTATTCCAAAAGGGGACACTAAAACTTCTAAGCACACGTTTCCAGACCAAAGTTTTCGCCTCCACATTGCTATATCGTTTTAATATGGATCTCATGTCGCGGTATTGCACATAAGCTTATCGATCTTGAGAGAGACTGGTCTCTCTTGTTTAAATTGATGTTTGCCCCTTAAGACGGTTAACTGGATCATGAGAAATATATACACTATTTTGTTCTAAGCAGCAGATGTGGCCACATCAGGTAGACGGTTCCAAATGTAAACTGGCGAGGTTCTGATTTTGGCCAGTGATCACAAACAGAAGTTAAAGTCTGTCTTCTGCATGACATAATAGAAGTGACCTTAATTCTTTACTCGCACAATCACGAGTTTCCCATTAGTTCTCCAAAGTAGGCAACTACAGGCCAATGTGCCTGACACCTATTTTGGCAGTTTTTTGAAAACTCATAAAGAGGGATTATTGCAGTTGCTACAGTCAAATGAGGTCCTGACGCCCGCACAGCACGGTTTTATGCATGGCTGCTCATGCAATACAAACGTGCTTGTGACCGGATGTGAGTGGTTGAAGGTAATAAGCAAGGGGAAGTCTGTCGACATGATATTCATCGATTTCAGTAAAGCGTTCGATAAGGTCAGCCATGAAGTTCTCCTTCACAAACTCAGGATGTATCGGTGGCTCACTGCACCAGTGGATGCGTGACTTGCTTGTTGGTGGAAAGTGGAGGGTACATGTGGACGACCATCTAAATGACTGGTATTCCTCTACAAGTGGCGTGCCTCAAGGCACTGTGCTAGTGTCCACTCTGTTCCTGATCCATGTCAACGATCAACCTCAGCTTCTCCGGTCGCGGTGTGCTTTTATTGCGGACGATATGAAGATTTTGGGAGAACTTGACACTGCAGACGACTGTGGCCTACTTCAGCAAGACCTAAACCGATTATCCACGTGGTCTGCAGAAGTTCATCTCCCGGTCAACCCAGCCAAGTCTGTACTTATGAGCCTGGAGAAGGGTGCTAACGGTCGAACCTACACACTTGACGGCCAACTGCTAAATGCCACACCCTCCCTGAGGAACCTAGGTGTACCCTCGCGCCACCATTTAAAGTCCGTGGACAACAGGAACAGGCTATATCATAACAGACTGCGCATGCTTTGGGCGCTCAAACGTAACTTTCGCATATGGTCAGAAGAGGCTGCTACTCGCCTCTTCTCTTCCATCATTAGACCAATGCTAGAGTACGGTTCGCCCGGCCACTCTCCGATTACCCGAGGCTAGGTACAAAAGATCGAACAGGTCCAACACGCTACTATCAGGCTCATCCGGAGTTTACGTGGCTTGGGATATGAAGGTCGGTGCGAGAAACTAGGACTCTACACCTTGTTCTACCATCGGGTGCGAGTTGACCACATTATGACCTACAGTATCCTACATTTCGGTGACTTCCCTCTACTGAGGCCAATGCTGTAGTTAGGAGGGCTAAACAGCACACGCGGACACAGATACAAACTTGTCGTGCCCGAATTGAAACGTGTTCCCACCTACTGTGCTTCGAACAGAAAGTGGTAAATATTTGGAACAGTTTACCTGAACATGTGATGGAGGCAACATCCGTGCAGCAGTTCGAGACGTTGTTAGAGTTAGATTGTACCACTACTCGATGCAGAGAACGACTGCACACTTATGATGACATACCACATTTTTGAGTCCTGCAATAAAGTGAGTCAAATATTCTAAATGTTACATGAGAACGATAAGCATATTCACGACTAACAAGTTTTATAACCTGTTTGACCATATTTCGAAAGAGTTGTACAGTTGCTCTATAATGCAGTATTCAGTATTCCACAGCTGTCTAAGGTTAGGAGTGCTCAAATATAGAGAGTATTTTTGTTCCTCGCAGTCAGCCGACAATTCAGATAAGCTAACTACCTGTCCGGAAAAGCACTAGACGGCCATTTCGCCTTATTGACTTGTGCCAACTAGCCCGCAGCCTATGCAACCGAGCCAAGGAAAACGGCAACCGACCATTACAAATTGTTAGCTAACTGCGATATAGCCCGACCCATCCTCCACTGCCATGCAGGCACCTGCCAAGCACATGTCAGCGGTTGGCCTTCCGGCGTCAGGACTTCACGATTACGACAGCTATGAATCGACAAAGCATTTATGGAATCCATAAGGGCGAATTGGTATTACTTATGAGTAGAAGGATTTTGGCGAGTATTTTTGTTAGTCGCAGTCATCCGACAATTTAGAGAAGTTGAATACCCATCAGGAAAAGCCCCAATAAGGCGAAACGACCGTATGGTGCTTTTCCGGATAGTTAGCTGACTTATCTGAATTGTCGGCTGATTGCGACGAACAAACATACCCGCCGAAATTCTTCTACTCATGAACAGAGCGTATTTTATTAGACGTCGATTATTTATTATGTAAATTTCGCTATGTTTAGAAATTATTTTACGCAACAAATAATAGGGAGTCTTTGTCGTTACACGCGTGTTGAAAGACGAAAGCCACTAGTTTTGAACGTTTTATCAAAACCGAAGAGTGGAATTAGTAGCCGATGGATGTTGGAGCATCATCAATCTAAGCATAATTTTCCTTCGGATAGCAAACTACTCTCAGCAACTTGTGTGCAACTGTGGGTGGGATTGCGCCAAACACAGCTTTATTGTCATTCATAAAGGAAAACTGCACTGCAACACGTTATTATTATGCTCATAGTTATCTGGTGTTAGGGTACGAAAGCTGTCGCAAAAAACTAATAGCCCATGACACCAACCAAGCTTAGAGGAATAGTAAGCAACTCTTTGTAGCGTCCAGATAAAGATTTATTCTAACTAATCAGCACTTCTGCATATTTATTGAAGTTTAGTTTGGAACTTGTTAAGTTAGGGTAACTGGGACAAGTGTGAATTGTTCTGGCCTGTTATCTCAGGTTGAAGTATAGGTCTGTTCCATGCTTTCTTTGATACTGACCAAAAATTAACCCTTAACTTCCCCAGATTATTGCCAATGAATTAACATTATTCTCGGTGATCTTATCACGCTTGAAGATGTATGCGAGCATGCACGAAGAGTACTCATAATCAGAAGTTCCGCCTCATCGACTATTCACTTGGCATTGGGTATGTTAGAAAATACAACAGTGTTTGATCCATTAAGGTTTTATCTACTGGTCGGTTCGAATGAATGTTACTAACTTGTCATAAAGCAAACTTTATTGTCCATTGTAGCTTGTCGGCTGATACCGGGCATAGGTTCACTACACTGAAAAGTAAAGGGTTGTTGGCGTCAATTTCCCAAAGCCTGTTCGGAAATTTTACTAATAATGTTAGTTTTACAGCCTCTATAGCTCATATATTCCTAAAGTGATCCCCATTTGCAGCGGTTCCCTGTTTAAAATTCTAGCAGTTGGAATTAAGTCACCGAGGAAGTACTAACGAAAAGTATAGACCTTCGCATTTTATTAGGACGGTATATGAATAAAGACGCAACTGAATTCGTACCGTTAGCCTTGTAAGTCAAGCAATTAAGCTAGTGATTTAGACAAAGAAAAGCTCTCTTCACCCTGATCTCGGCTGTACCCACGGACGCAGCGGATTTTTGTGGTACTGTTTTCTGGATTCTACTTTTCGCTCCAGATTACTGTCTTATAAGTGTATTCTGTGTGAATTGTGCTTCAACATCCTTCCTAT